TTTTGTATTCTTCTTGATACATTATAATATAACGCGATAATTTTGTAATGGTTTTCAGAAACGTCTTACATTTATCCGTCTGTTTCGTATCCGAACTGTTTATTTTTAACTTGTAAAGGTAGCTAGAGATTATTAAAATAAATATTTACAGTTACAGGCAGTGGTAGCCAGGTGGAAACGCGATCGCTTGTAAAACTGAGTGAAGCGGGTTCAAATCCCGAGTCTCGCACCTCTGATATTTTCATGTACGAATCATTTCTAACATGATTACCACTTGTCTTACGGTGAAGGAAAACATCGTGAGGAAACTTGCATGTCTGAGAGAACCTAGCAAGTTTTCGAAAGACGTGAGTCCGCCAACCTGCACTTGGCCAGCGTGGTAGACTATGGCCTGATCACCCTCGTATTGAAGGGAGGCCCGTGCCCAGCAGTGGGACGTTAAAAAAACTATTACTTAAAGTTCCATATTATAAAGCTTAAAAACATTTAAAATCTATATTAGCTACTTTCTAACTAAATAAAAAGTTCTATACAAATATTTGAACAAATTAAAGATTTAAAATACATATTATAAAATATTTAACTAAATTAAAGAAACATCAACTTATATAATGTTGGGCAACAAAAAATCTAAGGTCATCAAGGATGAAAGGGTTTAGTAACAAAATAATGCTAATTTACATAAATCGAAGCGCGAACTAAGTATAGAGGGCTTAATCATAAGTTAACCCTTCGATACTTAACGAGCTATCGTCGTTTGTCTAGTGGTTAGCTTGTAAGGATTTTGTGTGAGGATTGTACTCGTAGTTTGGGTTTGATGTCAAGTTGAGAAGATATACTTAGAAGCCTGGAGTTAGCTATGGATATAGAGGGGGGAAAATATCATTTTAGTTCTCAGCTTATCCTATCTTATCGATCTTTATTGGCCTTTATAATACTATAACACAATATTGATGGTGAAAATAAACATGTTTAAAGTTTAAAAAAAAATTCTTAATCTGAACTAACATACTTAACATTTATATTCAACTTGCTAGTGCAAGTTGCAACATTTAACATACATTAAAATACATTTACGTACTTGTTTGTTCCTAAAGATATACTTATATTTTTCAGTTATGACCACTTTTATCCAAACATTTAAAAAAGTTTATACAAATCGTATTTTCCCAAAGAACACATCAAGTCTACCCTTAATAGAGCCATTTCGTTAAACGTCCATGTTTGTTTAGCATTAAATATTATAATTGGGGTCTAAACGATACCTCGCAAATAAAGGGTTGAATTGATTAAGCCATATGGACGTTTTTTGTAAATCTCTAAGTTGACTTAGTCAATGATGATGATGAAATTTATTGTCATTAGAATAGGTTGAACTAGCTTAGGATCCCGGTTTTAAATGCATTTTTTGTGAGAATGTTTATTTTTTTCTATCATTATTTAATCCTGGTAGGTACCTCATTTTTATCATAATATTTATTTATTTATTTATTAGCTTTTCAAGGAATACAAACAGTATAATAAATAATTACATTCTAAAACATATAAAAGTAATCCTAAAACCAACCAAGTTTCCACAGATAACCAATACATACTCGTACCTAATAAAAGCTCACCACCACGATATGATATATAAATAAAAATTGAATATAAAAATAACTAAATGGTACCACTTATAATAAAACATTAAGTACTTATGCAGTTAAAAGTAACAATATACATACATACAACCTATAGTAAAGTGAAAGATATCTAATTATTTTTTAAATATTCGATTGAAGAACTTAAGTACTCAAATATATAATAACTAGATATATAGTATTCTATAAATTGTTCTAACTTTTAAAATTATTACCACACGAGCTTTTATCATAAAAGCTGTGTAATTTAGAAATTAGACTTAAAATATTGGTAATACCTTTAAACTTAAACCTAAAGGCTAAATGAAACAAGAAGACATCACCAAAAACATTTCTAAGGAAAAGTTCCTTATTAATTTATTTTTTCCAATTCTCACTAAACAATAATACGAATCAATCAACAAATTCACACTTGACACTGACCTATATCAATGTGTCAAAAGCAAAAAAATCGCAAATTCTATTAATTCCATCAGTAGCGGTCTCCCGCAGTGACAGCTTCTGGTCAGTGATGGAAAAAACTTGATCGGTTTTGAAATAACTTTCGATGATTTTTTCATTGGATACGCTAATTCTAAAAATATGTTGGCGGTTACAGTGATACGTAAGTGGTGAAATAGGTATATGTAATCTATTTATACATACCTATAATAAAATTCTAACTGAGTCGAATCTGTACATTAAATATTTTTTGGAAAATCTTATTGAAATAGACATTATTGTCGATACAGATAGTTTTCGAAACACATGTGAAGTCCGCCAACCCGCACTTGGCCAGCGTGGTGGACTATGGCCTTATCCCCCTCGTATTGACGGGTGGCCCGTTCCCAGCAGTGGGACGTTAAAAAGGGCTGTATATATACATCGATACAGAGGCTGAATCTATAGTTTTTAGAATTTTGTCTGTCTGTCTGTCTGTGACCACATTACGACAAAACCACTGGACAGATTTTAATGAAATTAGGTATGATGATAGCTGGGTGGTTATCCGAATAAACATATAGGACAACTTTTTACTGCGGGAATATACTCATCCCTGAGAAATCTGTAGGTACTAAACCTAACGTACATATATAAAACAGACATATAGGTATATGTATAGGTTCACTCGAATAGAGAACTCGCTCAGCTTCAATCAGTTAAGTAAATAATTGAACTAAGTTTTGTAGACGATAAAAAAATCATGTGTTTGAACGAAACAGACAGATAAACAATTGATTTGGCGTCTAACTATATTTTTTTATAAACCAAACAAACATTCCCTATATGAAGAAAAAGTATAATTTTAAGTTCATTACAATTTAGTTATGTGATTCATATATGTAAGTATATGATCATTTATTCAAGTATAACAATGAAAAAAAGTATATAAAGTACTAAAATATAATATGATTATAATAAAGTCGTTACCGCTGTCACATGATGGCTTCATCGTATCCTGCTTACAATGACAAACATTAACTCGGCAAAGTTATATTTTACAGATACGTAATCTGGGTTAAACAAATAACAGCTTGGATTATGAGGAAAACGCAATTGAAGTGAGATTTCATTATACTAAATATATGATTGTAGGTACATATACAATGTTTATTTCATTAAATAGCTTATATACTTGGAAATTTTTAAGTTAAAGTACATACACGGAAAGCACTAAGTGTCTCAATTTTTTCAATACGATTAACGATCAAAAATTTTAATTAATGGCCGATTGACCAAGAAAACGTGACATTTGACCAAAAAAGATACATAATATTATTAATACAAAACGATAACTAAATAACACGCAAATATATTGTGAAATATTCTATATATATTTATATATATTTTAGAACTTTATAAACGATACAGAATAATTGGATTTTTTAAATTAATTATTTAAACAAAGTTATCCCTATTACACTTACAAAAAAATATCAAATCAATTGACAATAAAAACTTTTTCATTCGAGCACCCGCGAATAATAAAACGGCGGGACGTCTGCGTTCCAAATTCAAATCGTAGCCGAACAAAGGCGTCCAACAGTTCGCGCCTTTTTACACAGACCACACAAAATGATGTAAAGAATAGAGTATAAAAAGTCATACGCTCTAAAACATTCCGCCACGGGCTACCGAATTAACAAATTAATTATGTTAATTTAATTAAATTGGTTAGTCAAGTGTGACCTTAATTTATTGTGAAGTGGATGAACATATAAACTATTTAAACTTATCTTGCCAACAATGTATCTATTTATGATAATATTGATGCATATATTTTTTTTATTTCCTGTACATTGGGGGCTTTGGCGTTACCTTTTTAAAGCATTGTAACATTATCTTATCATCAAAGCTTGTAAACATAAATTTTGATGCAAATCGAAATATCTCTTCCAAGTTCTAGTTACTTTAAATTTATTTTAGTTATTTTGATTACAGAAAATGAATATAAATGCGATTCAATAATATCGTATTCATTTGCTTATTATAAGCAACTAGCGAACTCACCCTCGCTTCGCTCGAGTTCGTCCCTGGGTACGTCTTAACGGTTAGTATAAAATACAAATCTTTGAATTACTCGGCTTTTCAGTACTATAATATGCATGTATTATACATATAAACCTTCCTCTTTAATCACTCTATTTATTAAAAAAACGCATCAAAATACGTTGCGCAGCTTTAAAGATCTAAGCATACATAGGGACAGACAGACAGCGGGAAGCGATTTTGTTTTAAACATACTATGTAGTGAAGAGTTGTTTGATAATGAGTAATGAAAATAATAAATACGAACGCGTATTTTTAGCCAATAACCTACGAGTATAAAGACTTATTTTATTACAAAAGAAAATTTAAAAACTATATCGAACTTGACAGACAACACCTAGATTATGACATTTAAAAAAAAATCAAAAAAACATTGTAAACATTAACTAGAAAATTAATTCATCAATAAACATAAAAAATAATGAAATAGTATATTTTAATGATTTTTAGCAACGCCATTGAAGTTAGGCGTGAGCTATTCAGGTAATATTCAATTAATACCTTAGACTCACTAAAAACCAAACCTAAAATATTTAAGTACCTAACCAACACAATTTATAAGCTACTCTAAAACAATTTATAAGCACTTCACTTCTAATTCAAGAGATATGGACTGAATAATAGTATTTTCTATACAACTATAATTTAGCATTTTAAAATCAAATGAAATAATTTTATAAAATAAGTATAAAAATTCCATCAATATACTTAATATTTTTATTTAAGTAAAGTAAAATTAAAATAGATCGGGACATTTATATAAATAATTATATAATAGGTATATATTTAATAATAAGTAACTTATATGCTGTTATTTTTCTCTTAGACAAAATGGACGTAGCAAGGGAATACCTCCAAGATTCATTGAATACATCACTACACACTACAAGCACTCTACGGCCGTCAGAAGTACCAGAAATGATGACACCCACACAGGTGGGGTATAAAAGTCTGCTTTTCTCTCTATAAATTAATAATTTTTATATTTATTTGCTAGTAATGTTTATCGTGAATATTTTTTATTTTTTTATTATTTTCTATTTCTGTATCCATACTTCCATATCCATACTTATTACTTATAATAATATTATAAATGTGAAAGTGTGCTTATTTGTTTGTCTTTCTTTCACGTCGAAACTCGAAAGACGGATTGGCGTAATTTTTTGTGTGGAGATAGTAGGTAAAGAGGGCTGGAGAGTGACAGGCTACTTTTTACCACGGGATATTATATCTTTCCCACAGGAAAACACGTTATAATACCACCCAAAAAATTATTTCAGATAAAAATTTGGTATTATTGCTCTTCAATACAATTATATAAATACGTGTATTAGCATTTTTCGAAATTCATCCCGTAAGGGTGTAAAATAGGGGATGAAAGTTTGTATGAAACCAACCGTTTTAGAGCTTTTTTTTTTGTAGCGCAAGCGAAGCCGCGGGCTCTGCTAGATATTCTAAATATTCAAAAAGCATTAAAAGGACAGTATCTTAACAACAGTAACATTAGAACTCTTGGTTAGTTACTTATAAGTTACAGTGCCACTAAGTATAAACTACATAAACTATATATATTAAAAAAATCACGGCGAGTTTCGTAACAGAATGGAAAACTAACGCACTTCCACGTTTACATTTAGTAATGTGCTTGTCTTAATAAATCCTTCTAATAAAGGATTATTTAACATAATTACAAAAGTTACTTTTATAAAGGCTAAAACTACTCGCAGTATATATTATCAATTCTTTATGCTGTGGCACAACGGATTTAAGTAAAGTTCGAATTAGATACTTTATGTCCTGATTTATTATCCTGATATTAAGATATAGGCGAGCGGAGCCGAGGGCAATCACTAGTAACATATACAATTTACAGATCGATCCACAATCCTCATCTTCATACACTCTCGCAAATGACCAAAGCGTCCTCAGCAGAAATGTGGATCAGTGGATAAGGGGTAATCTTTCTCCCACAGAAAATACTGGGGTTCAAGGAAGCAGGTAATTTTATTTAAATACTTAGCTAAAATAAAAAAACAAGTTTAAAAATAACAAGCTTTTTAAATTAAAAGATGAAGTAAGGAGAAAGCACTTCGCACGCACATCATCTCTGATATGGAAAACAATATATTTAAGACTAATTTTATTATTTATCATGGGATAATTTAAATAGTTAAAAAACAATACCTTTGCTTAAATTTTATGATAGTAAGTAATTATACAGTAAATATTCAAGTTCTGTATATGAATGACAAATTTAATATAAATTAAAATATTTTATAAAATAAATATTAAGTATGTGGAAAAAATTATAGAAGGTAGCTTCGAACTGAAATTTTATTTGTAATAATAGTAAAAAACCTACGCATGTTACATATCACCCAGAGTGGCAACAGTACAGCGGTCAACTCTAGCGACTTCTGCAATAGATGGCTCAAGTTTCTGGTACATGCTCATTATGATGCTGCCACTCTTCAACTCCAACAGAGTGCAGTGGAGATGCACACCCAGGTATTAAATAAAATAAAATTAAAAAGATGGTTTTCAAAAAAGGTTTACTTCGTTTCATAAATACGATACGCCATGAAAATGTTAAAAAATCAACTAAATTGGTAGAATGATGGAAACATTTTATTTATTTATTGATATTTTGATTCGATAAGTTATCGTAGAGGAATTTTAAATTAATCTAATATATCACGTAGCGCCATCTACTTTTTGGTTATAGACGTTCTTGAAATTGTCGTTTGCGCCATCTAGTGAAATTATACTAAACTACTATGCTAAGAAAACACAATATCTTACTAGATGTCTCTACTTAGAAAAATAATAAATTGGTAACTTATAATATTCATTTATTCAACTGGTACTTTATGTTATATATTATTTTTTTTTCATGGAAAAGTAAAATCATTTTTTTTGAAAATAAACATTCTGTTAAATTATGTATAAACATACACACATTGACCACATTTATACATGACATTATTCTATATAATCTAAATAACAGTAGGTATAAAATAGCATTCACCAATATTTGTTATATTTTGTTATGAATATAATGTTTAACTTATGAAAAAATTATAACATCAATTTTCATATTTTACAGTTTTATGCTAAGTAATAAGTCGCATTGCGTATGGATGAAGATGGCGCTTAGTGCAATAGGGAAATATGCGTGATTTTTTTAAATCTTTTTATAAGTAAAATAACTAACATCGTTATATAATTATAAAAAAATGTAAATTGATAAAGGCTTAATTCAAAAGCAATAAAGGTTAAAAAAAATCACCTTTATTTAAATCACACGAATATTCCCTATTGTATCCCGATTTTGTGGGACCTCTTTGTCAGAGGACTTAGATAGCAAACTGAAATAAAATCACTAATCTATACTTAAATTATTTTTAGCACAATCTTGTACACAGCCGAGTTATTCCTAATGAAAGTGGGCAGACTGTGCAGCCTCCTTGGATACAGGATGCGACGCCTCGCACAGAGACAACTATCCCGAGATGTCTTCGCAACAGCTATGGACATAGTGCTTGTTATATACGCGATAGGTTTTCTAATTTTATCTATGTACCAAAATTCTTTTACAGGTGTTTAATTATTTTTTTTAATTCATAGCGTCATCAATCGACAATCACAGATAATAATATTTATAAATCGTTTTTTTATCAAAGTTGCCAGGCTGGCAATTTTGTAACAAAATCGAACTTATATTACGTGGTAGAAAAAAAATAAGATACTGTTGAAGATCAAATTATAACATTAATTTTAAAAAATTGCGTAGATGGCACTCCAAAATATTTTCCTATATTATTGTCATTACAGATTTGTAAGTGAAATTGCTAATAAATATAATTGAAATCATTTCCCGCCAATGTGAAATCACTTCTGAAACACGTATAGAATTTGTTTTTTTTTATGATTTCTATTTCCTATAGTATATGTGTCGTGTGTCATTTTTTCAAAGTTATCTGTATAATATTTTCAATTCAATTCTATTCTTTGTTATTTGGCTTTTAGGCGTATACCTAATATTTTACTCAATGTCTTTTTTTTCAAGTTTTCTGCATTTTATAGGTTCAAATATAACTTGTTTTGCTATACTACTGTACTTATTAAATTAAGTATTTATTGACTAAATTAAGATTTCTTTATTTATTAGCAGCGTAATGTCATCGAGTATCGAAATAAGAAATAAATCTGGTTTGTCATAATTAATTATTTTTAATTTTCTTCACAGTTTCTCTCGAGCGCTTCTTTTTTAGAAAATAAGATGTAAAATTACCTACCAATAATTAAGTTTGATGTATATATTTGTTTTTTTTTAATAATTATTACAAAAAAATATATCACCAACTTATTAACTCCAAACTACCGACTTTTCTTGAAAGAAATCAGGACTCTGATCTCGTCAGTCACTAAACCAATAAGCACTTAATACTTTCTTAGATTTACGCGAATATTTGATATTTTAAATAAAACTATCTTTTCGGATTATTTTGCTGATTTATTTTGATTTTTGGTTACCAACGTTTCGAATGCTTTATAGCAATTAGCAATTCAGTCTTTCCCATTACCATGATCTGATGAATGTGACCGATCATTTTCTGCGAAATTCTGAAACGTGGTCATATTTTCGAAGGCCGAAAATAAACCGTATACAAAGAATTTGAGGTCGCTCAAGTTTATTTGAATATTCTTCTTTGATATCAAGATAACAAACGTCATCATAATCAAGAAGCGGCAGTAGAAGAGAATTTTCCAGCGCAATTTTGGTATGTACAACACACAGCCACAGTAGCCACGGCATTTTGCAATTGGTCGACAGGTGGTAGTGAGAAGAAAGTTATTGAGATTTAGAATTATTAATAAAAATTGAAAAAAGGAGAGGACACAACACGCTACCTTGTGGAACACGAGTATTAATTGTAGACTATTCAGAGTACGAATCTTCAATTCGTAAGCGTTGCCGGCGATCACATAAGTAACAATGATACCAGTCAACCACCTCGGGAGGTATATTAAGAGAAGCTGAAATGGCAAGTAAAATGTCGAAATCTCCTATATTAAAAGCGTTTGTAAAATCGAATAGTGTCAATACCGTAAGTATTTCGTTGTCCATGCTTTTTATCTAACGTCATCTCACATCTGTAATTTTTAACCCCCGACGCAAAAAGAGAGGTGTTATAAGTTTGACGTCGATGTCTGTCTGTGGCATCGTAGCTCTCAAGCGGATGGACTGCTTTCGATGCGGGTTTTTTTCATTTGAAAGCCAGTTTACTTGCAGTGGTTCTTAACTATGTTTGGTTAATATCGGTCCAGCAGTGTAGGAGTATCAGCTCTTTTCCAAGATGATGTAAGGCGTTTTGGCGTATGATTACTCGATTAAGTGCAACGCGTGCCAGTGTAATCGTTAAATGACAATTAATTTGCGTAGGGGGTTTTTAAAATTTTTAAATAATAATTATAGTTAGCGCAGTAATCGATATCGACAATAATAATATATCAGTCATACCTTAGGTACATATGTACTCGATGAATGGTTAAATAAAGTACCTATATAAGATATGATGTGATAATTGCACTTGAAATAAATCATAATTACTTAAAATAAATATAACTTCCTTATTGTTATCGTAGTACTTTAACTATAATATCTGTTGTTGCCAATCAAGCGCTGTGTAACTGAAACTTAGTATGAAAACAGGAAGCTTACGTGGACGTACAGACATCGACATCTGTTGGAACAGATGCTGATGTCACAAAACTGTCGAACGACGAAGTTGAATGGCGAGTTATATATGTATTTGATACTTTTTTACACAGAAAAGCCTAGATGGACTTGGATGTTTAGTACACAGATAGAATACATAAAGATCTAGACTCTGACTCTAGGGTAACACATAGGCTACCTACTGTCAGGCGGTTAGGGAAGCACCCAATCGAATTGAAATGAAATTAAAGTTTATTCAATTAGACCTTAGATTATTAATATGAATAATCTAAGAATTAGACTTATTGCAAGCACTTGGTTCGTCAATTTAATTTAAAGAGCGTCAGTATACTTAGTCTTTGAGGGAGCCACCACCGGCTCGGAAAGCAGTTCTGCTGAGAAGAGCCGGCGAAAAACTCAACAGTTTAAATTTTGTTGCTCTTTGACAAAATCAAATTTTTGACGAAGGTCATTGTGCAAAAATAAATAAAATGGAAATATGTACTAAATCCTAAAAGAAAACAAATAAGTATAGGGTTTTGTTATTGAAGAGAAGCTTTGAAAGCCTTGGCCCTGGCCTTTCTAGAATAAATCCTACATAACCACCTGTATGTATACAGATGGTATGTGTAAATGTATTTACAATCGTAAAAAAACTTATTTAAAAAAAAAGACACGTACAAAAAACAAACACCTGAAATAATATATTTTTTGAACTGAGTTAAAGCGCATCAGCTGGTAAAAATTGCCGTAAATATTATTCATATATGTAACTCATTATTAGTCACTTACATTGTTTTCTTAATTCTAAGAATTTTTATGTAACAGGAATTGTCATGACAAAAGGTAAACTAAGGTAAATTTTTGTTTAAATAGCCATACGTATATGCAACACAAGTATTTAAATAAATACGTCTGCCTTTATTATAATGTTAGGATAGAAATAAAAAATATACTTAATTGTATGTACCTACAAAATAAATACACTTAATTATTACTGTACAAGTCATGTCCGCGTGGAATTGTGGCAAGAATGCTTGCCGCATTCTCCTACTATGGCAACTTCTTTGGGCGTAAAACGAGCCATTCAAAATCAAAATATTTTATTCAGCATTAAATTATTACATTTTTTTACTGAACGTCATGAGTGTACTACCAGTTCGGAAAGAAGAAGCGTCAGACCTGAGAAGAACTGGCGAAAGAAACTCAGTGTGACTAATATTGACTTGTTATTTTTTCTTCATACCTTTTTTTTTTTTTTTAACGTTGGGAAATGCATTTACGCACGACGTGTGGGACTCACCGGCGTAATACAGCCAGTACTAATGGGACGTCGCAGGATCGCTTACGCATTCAACTACGACGCCCCGACGGCAGGTCTGCCGAAGCAGACCACTACAACCATGGGGTTGCTCCACAGTCCACTCTGCTATCAGAGAAGTACCAGGAGCAACCCGCAAGGTACACCGCCCCCCGAAGAGGGCCACCTCCCACCGCCCACCGAAGTGGGCAACCTCCCTGTGCGTTTCTTAGCTTCGCGCCCGGTTGGATTGCCGGGCACTACTGAGCCCCCCACCACGACAAGGTGAACGCACGTTGGGGGGATCTTTTCTTCATTCCTACCCTAACCCTTAAATCGCTAAAAAGATTTCGGTGGAAATTGGCAAATGCATAGATTTCATATAGGTACAATTTCTTCGCATATTCAATCGTGCATAATAATACTAATTTCATAATGTTAATTTGGCATAAATGTGTACATCTATGTGTTTTTGACGAGGTTAGTTGTGAGGATCCAAGAGAAGCGATCGAGAGCTAGGAAGAAATAAATATAAATTTTTGACCCGGAATAGAACCCTCGACCACCGTCTCTGCGATTGTTGTACCAGCTACACAATTAATAATATTATTCAAGACAATAATTGCTTGTTAATTAAATAATAATATGTACAAAGTAAATAATAACAAAATTATACAGAATTATGTTAACTCTAAGGGCAGTGGTTATCAAACTACATATTCATTGAAAAATTTAAGCCTTGACGTTAACGGCTAGTTAGTAAATTATAGTTATTTACTTACCTTTAACTTAATTTTAATTTTAAATCTTTAATGATTGACTTAAATAAGTGCTTTGCGTATCTATTCAAATAAAATCGCCTATTTTTTATTATAACATATAGTTATATAATAATGTGTTATACTTTAATTTGACGACACGTTTGGCTCACTTTGTAGCAACCGTGCTTGCTGTGCCAGCGGTCGCGGGTTCGAGTCCCGCTGGGGGCATTCATTTGTGTGATAAGCACAAATGCATTTACTCCAGTCCAGGTGTTTATATTTATAATATGTATGTATTTAAAGTTATATATGTGTAGTGTATCAATTATCTGGTATCCATAACACAGGCCTCGTAGCTTACCATGGAACTAGATGGTGGTGTGTGTTAATGTCCCAACATATTTATTTATATTATTTATTAATTTAAAATTAGCTTCGAATGTATAAAAATTATATTTAAACGTTTTTTTCAAATGTGATTAGAAGTGTTTAATAAATTATAAAAAGGTTACACCAACTTCAAAATCCCTAAAAGTAAGAAGTACCTAATGATTTTTATTGCATCCTTAAGGGCTTTTTTATTTATACGATACAACCCTTGGAATAGAATGTCTTTAAAAGAATCATGAGTGACATGAGTATTACTATATTATAATATTACTTATGTTTCATTGTGTAGGTCATGAAAACATACGTGTTTATATTTTATTTAGTATTTGTATATTTTCTTTTTAAGTCCTTCAAAAATATTGGTAGGTACTATGGTCAATGGAGAAATTTTGTCATATTTATAATAGGAATTTTTTTGGGAAATGCATTTACGCATACCACCTGCATACATACAAGTTGTCCTGTGGGACTTACCGGATAGAAAATCCAGTACTACCCACTAAAACCCAACAGATTCAGGCACGCCCCGACGGCAGGCCTGCCGAAGCCAGAACACAACAACCAAGGGGTAGCTCCCACGGTCCGCTCAGCTATCAGAGAAGTACCAGGAGCAACCCGCATAGTTCACCTCTCAGAGTGTCTCTTAGCTTTACGATCGGCTGAATTGTAGTGAGGCAGTGGTAGCACAGCGGTAGCGCGCTCGCTTGAGAAACTGAGTGAAGTGGGTTCAAATCCCGGGTCTCGCACTTCTGATATTTTCATGTGCGAATCATTTTCAACATATTTACCAATTATTGTCTTACGGTGAAGGAAAATATCGTGAGGAAACCTGCATATCGTGCAAGGGACATGCTCAGTTCGCCCGCACTTGGCCAGCGTGGTAGACGATGGCTTGATTCTCCTAGTGAATGGATGCCCGTGTCCACCATTCACAAAGTATAAATATAAACAAAGTCAACATATAATTAAAAAAAATATGCGATTCACATTTGTTCACAAATAATAATGATATTTACTTGTGTATGTACATTAAATACTTAACGTGTACATAAACCGTGTGCGAGCAATTTGCACATGGACTATGCAGTTATCAAATAGATTTTATTGCATCACACGAAGAAATCGTTGTTTTAATATTTACTAAGTTTTTCGAGGTTTTCCAATCTGTATTTTGATTTATAGGTATCTCTGTATATTTATTTTATTTTTCATGATTTATTCCCAAATTCTTATTATAAGAACTTACTTTTACTTTTTTTACTTACTTTTTACTTTTTTTTTAAATAGATTTGTAGGATTCCTGTGAAATGTTATTGTCCATTAGGACAGAAGCGCGACCAAAATTTTCTCAGCGGGTTTTGCTTTTTTATATTTTGAATAATTGCATTTTTTTAGAAAATATACTCTGATAGATAAATTTAAAGAGTAAATTCAAAGTCTAAATACAAAATTTGATCCAAATCGTTACAGTCGTTTCCGAGATACACGAAGTAAAATATATTATATAAGAATTGCTCGCTTAATATAATAAGATAAATAAGATGAGAGAAGCCTAGGGCTAATACTAGGGCTACGCACACATCGAGTCGTTTTTTCTTCACCTGATAAAGTTATATATAATTATTTTACTTTATACTAGCGACTTCCCTTCGCTTCCCTCGGGTCCCTAGGTACCTTTTACATACATGAAAATTGTTATTCCGAGTTTACCTTAAGAAATAAACACATGCTATTGCGAATTTTTCTGTAGGACTTTTTTAAGGCCTACAACTTTCTAGTACATAATTTTAATGTATATATAAAGGTTTAGCCAGTTAGCCATGTAATCGTACGAAAACAGTTTTTTTAAAACACCGTCAAGTTCTAGTCATTTTGACCAAAATATTTTTCAAATTATATACATAAATATTTCTTTTTCGTCGTTCTTTCTTAATAGAAATTCACCAATATGATAACCTTATCAAAATCTTTTGCGTGGTTTAAAAGCAGTAAGTGGAGAAACAGACAGACGCAGACAAAGTTTTTGTTTTATACTATGTATAAATTAATTAATTATTATTAAGGATATTATTGATACTTACCATCTATATACGAATAGTTTTTATTTTGACTAGTAAAAAATAATTGTTGATAAATAATCGAACGGAAACGGAAGCGAAACCGTATGAATGAGTCAAAAACTCGATTATACCACCAAATATTTAGAAATGTAGAATTTTGTTTTCAAATCATTGTTTTCAGAGATCGCCTACGTTACTTTAGAATATGTCAGCACACGTGCCGACACGTTCTCAAATTAATAACAAATAAACAGTGTTATTAATGTTTGTAAATTAGAAAGTTTGGTCATGTAACATAAAAGCTACCGTGACGCAGACAGCACGAAATCCTTACTAATATTATTAATATTTCAGGCGGCTACGAAGTGCGAAATATTGGAGTGATATTGTTTTTCGATAGAGTAAATTTATACGCTAACTGGCGACAGACGCTCGCTTCGCTCGCGTTCGTCCCTAGGCTGACTACTGATACACACTTTCATTCCCATTTTCAGTTCCTTAAGGGATGATTTCACGAATAAAAAATATACTATGCCCTTCCCAGGGTCTCTAACTATCTTCTTACTAAATTTCATTTAAATCGGTCCAGTAGTTTTTGAGTTTATTTGTTACAAACATATAAATATACAAAAATACAAATCTTTCCTCTTTATAATATTTGTGTAGATTAGTAACAAATTACTAATAAAATACTTTTTTCTGGGTGCACCAGTTGGTTTTTTTCAGGTGTCTCGACGTTTCGAATACTTTAAAGCACCAATGACATAATACTACTCGTATATTTAAAGCAAAATGGTCAAAGGAGACTTTTGGGAGAAAAACCTAATATATACCTCAATAGTATGATACATAAATCTAGACTTACTAGCTTACTAAAAACTTTGTTTTTGGTTTTTATAGTACGAGGATATTTTAGTAAAAATCATTGAATGGAATAACCTTAAAAAGATACCATGGTGACCAGATGATGGCGTTATAAGGTGGATAGTGGAACACTTTATTATCTTAGGTACCTACTCAAAAATGTGTTAACATTTCCGCAATTAATTTACTAGATAATTACAAATAAGTATGATTATAAAAGATACAGTAATAGCTTGAGTGGATCCACTTACATATGTTACTATCGCCACTTTTCTAAAGAATTCATTCTTTGAAAAAGATAAAATTAATTCAACAATGTTGATACCTCTAATATAAACACTTTGCTATGTTCCAGTACAATGATCATTCAGAGTACATTTCCCAATGATTTAATCATTAATTTTATTAACTAGTTAGTAGTTACTGCTTTTTTTAAGCCTGACTACATACACATTTTATGGTTGCCAGTTACAACTGACAGTACTACCCACTAAAACCTATTGCTAATTTCCCCATCTTAATGGGAACTTCAAAACAATATAACTGCCTTCCTCCCCGAAAATGATCACCTCGTTTCAGCTATCCTCACGGTTCACCAGACTGCCCCAAGTCATTCCCAAACCATGAATCATCAGGAGTATTTTTTAAAGAGTTTGGCCAAGTTAAAAACTAAGGGGCAGCTCTGAAAGTCCACTCTGCTATATGAGAAGTACAAGGAGCAACCAGCAAGGTAAACCTCCCATCTCCACTGGGTCGCCTTCGAATATTTCTGTTGATATCACGGCGCATTTCGACGACGACAACGACCACCTGGATCACCTGAACACACATTCAATATAGAAATTCTAAAACTTCTTAATTCTTATCTACACATAATATAATAAAATTCTATGTAACTGAGTCGAATCTGTCCATTAAATAATTTTTGGAAAATGTTATTGAAATAGTCATTATTATTGATATAGCGGTCGAATCTATAATTTTTAGAGTTTTTGTCCGTCGTCTCTGTGACCGCATCACGAGAAAACCACTCAACAGATTTTGATGAAATTTGGTATGATGATAGCTGGATATCCGGGTCAACATGTAGGATACTTTTTACCGCGGGAAAATATCTCATTTCTGAGAAAAAATACAAAAACTGCATTGTAAGATAATACTAATATGTAAAACCTAAGATTTTTTTGTGTTTGGTCATCTGAACGCGGGCGGAGCCGCGGGCAATGCTAGTATAAATATATGCTACTACTACTATGAATGAAAAATGAAAAATTCTATTATGTATTAAACAACCTTGAGAGTTAGATAAAAATTTGAACTCGTTATCCAAAAGCCTATTAATAAAATTAAATATAATAAGTATAATAATTCTTAAATTATTATACTTATTATATTATATATCTTCTATTATTAAGCATTGATTCGATTAACTAAATTTAAAATATTAAATGAGGAATTCTTGTGTACATAATACATACCTATATAATATATTAATTAGGATTTGGATCAAATTTTGTATTTAGATAAGGTTTAATTGTTAAGTTTATCTATGTAGGTGTCCTTCCAAAAAAAGTCCAATTTTTAAATCTTTTCCGAAAAGCGGCGAGCGAATGTCGTTCGCCCAAGTACTTTAATTTATGCGCCATAAATAAATCTCATTATATCAGATATTGAGAGCTTCATATAAAATGCAGCGGAAATGTAGTGCCAAGGACGTATTATATAAACAAATCCATAGAATAGTGCATAGTTGTCAACCTATTTACACAAGGGTGTAATCGCATGCAACAGTGCAGTCCGCGCTTGCATTATGGACGCGCGCGTCGCGATCGTCGCGCTCTGCGTAACTGTTGTGCGTGCTTTACAGGTTAGTTAATGTTTTAATTAAATAGCATTAATAATGATTATAAATCAATTTAATTCTATTTTATAATTAAATTTATTAATATAATTTAATAATAAATTGTTTTTTTTGGATGAATGTGGCTTGACCCTTTGTTTCGTGTTTTTAAATTTATTATCTGTTTAATATTGAAATGTTATTTGCGGTAAAATTTAGTTTTTTCCGTGTTTATTTTTAAATTTTAACAATAATATTATAATAAACTATTTAAATTAGTCATTCATTTTATGTATTTGTAATTTTAAGTAATTATTATTAATAATTTATTTTGTTAGGATGAATAAATTTTGATCTTTTTATGGGTACAGAATTGGCGCGTAAAAATATTTTTTATCTTGTTTTAATTTCTAAGAAAAATGGATAATAAAAAGTATTAATATTAGCCGAAAAATTATAATATACCATAGTTTTATTTAAAAAAGCCAGCGAAATAAACGATTATAGATTAAATTTCTGTTATAGCCATAATTTAAAAGTTAAAAAACAAAGTTTAAAGGTAATGTATACATTGAATATGCAGAAAACTAATTTAATAACTTTCTTAAATTAAAAATATGCTTAATGCTATAAAGTTTCATTGATAAAAAAATTATATTATTTATTTTATAAGCAAACATCTTGCAGAAACCTCACAATAATGTAATGAATTAATCTATATTCTATACTAATATAATATTAATAGTCAATACTTATGATGTGCTATTGATGTGCTTTTAAAATAATCTATTTATTTGTAATAACACTTATACACACTCTAATAACAGTTAGATCTCCATTTATTATTATCATTTAATGTTTTTTTTCATATTCTATTAAAACATAATTATAAGGTTTCTGTAATTATTGCGACATTTTCTATATAATTTATATGGAGCTTAATTATATTTAAATGTCTACATACATATTATAGAGAATTAAAGCCTTTTTCATTACTAAAACTGTCATAATAATATTATTGACATAGACGTTGTTGACTGATAAGAATTACTTATACAAAAAAAAATTGAGTTATAACATTGAAATAGTCCTAGTAAAATGCCTTACATTTTTAACGGAAGCAAAGTCAAATCCAAAAAATAATATTATAGTAAGATCGTGTCTCTAAACATAACATATCTCTTGTTACAAATGCCTCATAAGCAACTCGTGGGATTATAATACGTTGACGTTACTTCATTATACATTATAACTAGCTACTTACCCTCGATTCGCTCGGGTGGGTTACACGGTTTTTGAGTTTTAATTTTGTTTATGCGGAACCCTAATTCTTTTTCTTAAATAAAGGTAGCCTAAGTTACTCCTTATAATGCTATATATCAAACCGTCAAAATCGGTCTAGCCGTTTCAGAGCTTAACTGGAACAAACAGACGGGCTGACAGACAAACAGGCAGACAGACAGACATACAGACAAAAATTATAATTTTTTTTCTCTAAGTTGTAGGTACGCTTTGCTTTCATACGCATAAGTAAAAATATTGTTTTGACTGAGTGACTGACTGACTTGAGCTTTTATTTTAATATTACAAGCAGACGCTTCAATTTTATTTATTTGTTGTTTAAATATTTTACTAGCTGTGTTTGCATTTAAATTTTAAATATAAATTATAAAAATGTTATGTCACATAAATAGGTAATAGACTCCTCAATTGTGCAGAAGCCATAATAACGAACAGACATACAAACATATACAAATGATATATCTACGCGTATATTTTTTTAACCTTCACTGTATTTCACGTTTTTCTAGTTTGTATTTCATATAAAATTAAATTTAAGTCCGAAAATATTTCTTCTTGTACCTACTTATTCCTTTTTATTTAATAAAGATACCCCTTAAGTCTTGTCATGGGGGATTGTAGCTAAAACTTTTTTTTTGAACAAGGGAATATACCTACTCTACGTTTTGAAGACATGAACAAGAACATTGATTTGATATCCTCTAAATAACAATGTTACACCTGTATGTTGGGATATGTTGGGACATTAACACACAGCACCATCTAGTTCCATGGTAAGCTTGTGTTATTGATACCAGATAGTTGTTACACATCTTCTTCTTCTTCTCCTTGCCCATTTCCCAATCACTTGAGGTCGGCGCAGTACATCTTTTGTACTGCTGATAAGATTTGGCAAAAGTTTTACGACCGGCCGCCTGCCTGACGTCAACCCTCCTTAGGAATTTATTTGTTGATACACTACACAAATATAACTTTGAATACATACATATTATAAATATAAACACCCATGAGTGGAATACAAACAGTCGCGCTCATCACACTAATAAAAGTCCGGGACTCGAACCCGCGACCACTAGCACTACAATCAATACAATCTGAGCCAATCATTATAATTTTACCCACTAATAAAAACCTTGTCGTTGACTTTTCTGCATCAAATCTCAGACCGATTCAAAACAATACTTATAAACAATAAATCAAATATTTGCACCGTCCATAAATGTAAATCGCATACATATAACACTGGTGACTCAACCTCGCTTCTCTCGGGTTCTTCCCTAGCTTGATTCCTCATACAAACTTTCATCCGCATTTTCATCCTCCTAAGGGATGATTTCCGGTATTAAAAGTATCCTATGTCCTTCCTAGGGTCTCAAACTATCTTCTTACCAAATTTGATCTAAATCGGTTCAGTAGATCCCAAGATTACCCCCTACAACGTCACAAACTTCCAAACTTTACCTCTTTATAATATTATAGTATAGATTGGTAAAACAAATTAATATTAATAAAATAAATCCGTATGACTAAAATAACACGTTAGTTTATATTTAACATGTTTCCCAGTTAGACATAGTGACGCCTATTTTACGTAGTAGCTATTTAGGTATTGTTTGTACATAGCTTAGATTAACTGAACAGCTTTATTATTTTGTTTTAGTATAGAATAAATCAAATATTTGAAATGCTTATGACAAGTTCCTTGTAAATCATAATCCAAGTTTATTTTTTCACTATTTCTCATATTATACTAGCTTTTGCCCGCGAATATTGGAGATGAATATTCGTATTCGCGAATGTGAAAAATCGAATACATATTCGTTACATCTATACTAATATTACAAAGAGATAAAGTTTGTGAATTGTGAGTTTGTGACGTTGTAGGGGGTAGTTTCTGGATCTACTGAACCGATTTAGTTAAAATTTTAGGTAAGAAGATAGTTTGAGACCCGGGGAAGGACAGAGTATAGTTTTTATCCCGGAAATCATCCCTTAAGGGGGTGAAAATGGGGATGAAAGTTTGTTTGTGGAATCAACCTAGTTGCTACCTAGTCGCTAGTTACTAATAAGTACGTCTTTTAATTTTTCCTTTAAGCATAAAACTATTCGTTAATCTTCATATTTTGCACAAGAATGTACGACATCTCATCAGGTATTTTATATATCATTAACGCAAGTGATGCTTTTAACCTTGATCAAAGTAATTGTAACCAGATCGTATATTTATAGTCAGATAGTATTTGTGGATGACCACAGATCCCTCGGTTTATATATGAAAAATATATAATTAGATTATCAATGTTTATATTATATCTGTTTACATTATACGTTTTTTTTATTTATGTTTCCTTTATAATACAAACGTATAATTTCGTACGAAATTTCCGCTTTAATAAACCTATCTTCGACCTTTTTTTCTACCTTTCCAAAGCATTTATATATACAATTTTACCACAGTAAAGTCTTAAGTGTTAAAAGCTAATCGTTAGTAATGTAAATACTGCCTTTGATCATCTATCGAACATAATCCCCCTTGATATGGAAGCGAACTGAAGTTTGAGCTGATTGAAATAAAACATAGCAAAATTTCTTAATTCACTCTATAATTACCTATAAAATTAATAAAAATATTCAATCGTTATCTAATTATAATACAAGTAAATTTAAGGACAAAAATTCTAAAACCTTGTATACATTGTACTATATTAGGCTTCTACATACAACCCTTTAAGAAGTAATATTCAAAAATATTTAGTAGACAACTCGTCTACGGTTCCTACGGCGCCATGATTTGGAGGCAGATTCGCATAGATCTCGACGAGATATGCCGGAAAGTAAGAATAAAATTTTTCAAAATCTATCGATACTCAAAAATCAAAAAATATTTTTTTTGTCTTTTTGCCTGAAATTGTTTCATTTATTTATTTCTGTACCTACTTTATACTTATATAGATGAGCTTGTTTTTTTTTGTTTCTTTGAACGCGCTTATCTCTGCACCTACCAGCCTGATTTGAAAATGTTATTGTATTTTCTTTCTAGGAAATTAGAAGGGATTATTTAGGGAGGTTATTTAGCATCATTCTATTGACGGGGTTGTAGACGCGTAAATAAACTAACTAATGCTAGTATAACTGTATACATATAAAGATCACGAAATTAGCACAGATTACTTTGCCAATGTCATGTAAAATGGAGAAGAGACGAGACAGAAAGGAGATTGATCGGTTACCGCCATCTCTCGCTTTTTCACCAAAAGCGCGGGAAAAATATCAAAATCCGCGACCTTTTTGCTTTTTTTTTAAATACATTCCCATCGGCAAAGGTCGCATAAATGAATGCTTTATAAATAATTGTAAACTAGCGGTAGCGGAAAGTAGTAGCAGTAGTAGTAGAAAGCCACGAACAGGTCTATCGCACGGGAACCGTTTATTTTTCCAGGATGAAAAGTATATAATATGTTGACCGGGGTATAAGGTACCACCATGCAAAATTTCATCTAAATAGGTCCAGCAGTTTCGGAGATTAGCCCGTACAAAACAGACAGAGAAACAAAAAAATGGAAAAATCTGGATTTAATCTATTTCTCTTCTTACATCCCCCTGACTTTGGTTTTTAGCATTTTTTTTCTATGTACAGACATTCGACCTCTACCTCTAATATATTAATTTCTTTCATTAAAACGTTATTATATAAAAATGCAACCTTATATACAGCAGTACATATA